TCTGTGAGGAGTACCATGTACCTGTGAGGAGTACCATGTACCTGTGAGGAGAACCATGTGACTGTGAGGAGTACCATGTGTCTGTGAGGAGTACCTGGGCAGTGGAAGCTCCTGGATGTGGTCGATGCGAACTATTTGTCGGATGCAGAAGCGACAGAGGTGTTGTAGTGACTTCACGTTGCTGAAGCGAGATACAGGATAGAGCAGCTGAACTGGAGTGGGAGGAAGCCCTGAAACACACACACACACACACACACACACACACACACACACACACACACACACACACACACACACACACACACACACATATTATCAGCCGTTAAACAATAATAATAAATAATCTGCTGTCGTTGGGTTTTACTCCTCCGGCCGTGTTTTCCTTTTGTGAATGTGAATAAAGATGGACGACATGAAACCTCAACCCCAACTGAAGCCAAAACATCTGGATTGCCCCCTGGTGTCTGGCTGCAGTATAGGTCATAAACCCTGCCTCCTCCGTGTTAGCATGATTTAGGGACTTCTTCCATAAGCACCGGAAATGTCTTCAGTAGTTATCACCTTTAGGGATGTTAACGTCACCCACTCGTTTTTCAAAGTTAGTTGTATACAGCTGTTCAAATAGATCAGTACTCAGCTGATTCATGAAGTCCAGGTATCAGCATCTGTATCAGGAAGGAACCTGATGTTTGATCATGTTCCTGATGTGTTTTAATGGTTTAATCACTTATTGATGGCTGAGACGTCGTGATTGACAGCTGAGACTGACGTTGTGATTGGTCGAGTGTGTATCAGTGGAACCTCGACAGCTCCGCCTTCGATGGCAGCGTGCGTCCATCTTTATTTACAATCTGTGGTTAAAAGCAACAACACTTTTCCTCAGATGAAGGTTCCACTGATCTCAAACCTGATGAGATGTGCAGATGCATTAAATGACGTAAAGTCCTCAACCACACTGTAAAACACTCACTGCATTCTCACAATCATAAAAGATGCACCGGCTGAACACAGACACACACGATCAGATTTATTCCCCCTCTCCTCCGTCTCTCAGCCGATTCTCGCTAAGTGGCAGCTCGCATCCATTTTTGATGCACGAGGATACGTGGCCTATATTTTACCTGGGACTCTGGAGCGCAGGAAGTAGAGGAATTTGCCGTTCTTGGAGTGCATGATGGCTCGCTCGATGAACTCCACCACCGAGTGGCAGCGGTCCTCAAACTTGGGGTGACACCACAGGCTGAATGTCCCTGGAGAGAGAGAGGAACGTTTTTCTTTTTGTATCATGCGCAGCATTTTATCATTTATAAATCATCCCAGTGTTAATTATGAAGCATCGTTACAGTTTTCTGTGTGTGTCAAAGCAAATGTCTTGGAGGAGGACGTCAGTGTGATCGTCTGAGCAGTGGCTGGACGGTTTAAAGAGGACGTGTGCAGAGGTGGAGCTGTTGGTTATTCACAACGATATGACTTCAACTTCCTGGAAACGGTTTAGTTCTGGATGTGATACAAGCATCTTTAAAGTTGACGTCATGAATAAAGTCAGTGAAACCTCACGTCCACATTTCTTCTGTCCAGCAGCCGCACGATGTTTAACTGTGAAACATCCCGCTCGCTTCATATATTGATCACATTTCATTAACAACTAAAATGAAATCATGTTGTTGATTTTACTGTTTGTGTTAATGTAAAATATAAAAATATGAACAAATATAAGTATATATATAAATTACTGAAACTGAACTTTGTTTCCTAAGTTAATATCTTAGTTGATTCAAAGGTCAATCGCCAATGATAACAATATTTTCACCCGTCAGTTTTTTGTTTGTTGGTTTGGTTCAATTGTTGGTTGGTTAGTTGGTGCGATCCACTGAAGTTAAATCTGTTCATGAGGAGGAATGAGTTCTACTGAGTGACGATCTGGTTCATCTGGTCTGTTCGTGAAGCGATTGTCTGCAGAGCTTGATCTCAAATAACCGTCAAATAACAGAGGGAGCGGTGATCATCAGCCGGAGTTCGGTCCGATGACCGGCCGACGAGGTGCTAACGTGGCTACAAACTGTGTGTGTGTGTGTGTGCGTGTGTGTGTGTGTGTGTGTGTGTGTGTGTGTGTGTGTGTGTGTGTGTGGACTCGCTCGGAGCTTGTTTATCTCAAAGCCTCCCTGCTCTCGATTCATGTCGAGCCACAATGCGTTCATGCAGACGCGAGTTGTGTTGATGTAAATATGTTGTGTCAGTCGAGGCTGAACGTCTGAATAATGAATGTGTTTCCAGGCATGACTCTATAGCTTTATGATGGTGACTCATTAATGTAGAGCCCTGTTTCTGTAGGTCCGTGTGCGTGTGTGTGTGTGTGTGTGTCACCTTGTTGGTTCTCCACACATGTGGCGTGTGTGCAAATTTACACATGGCGTTGTGAGCGTTATTCATGCTTCAGCTCTGGAGTGTGACCTTATTGAAGCGCTCTGAGGTCGTGTTTGTGTTTAGTCCTGATTTCTTTCTGCTCACTCGATCCTTTAGGGACTTTTTTGTTTTGTTCAATTTGTCTCCCACGGTTCTTTTGTTGTCCTTTTCTTACGCTCTGATTATTTTCACTGTGTTTTGTGAAGAAACAAAAGTGACAAATGTAACTTTGTAAAAGTTGTAATCACAGAAACATTAAATATCGTTGACTGACATTGTTTCACCTCGGAGAGAAGTCGACTTTGAACTTTTAAGAAACTTTTTGTTTTCTAAAAAAAAAACAATCTGAGTGTTGACACTGTTATCGAGGGTCACACCCAAAGTTTCAGAAGTTTTCAGACTGCACTCAGTATTCAGTTGTTATTATTAAACACGCAGCTACATTTAGCCTCACGTGTTATCTGGCTTCTGTAGCACAGAACAACAACATACGTTTTCTCACGTAATGTTCTTAAACACCTCATTTTTACGACACTGAATGAATTTTACAGCTTTAGCTAATTGTTAACTTTCAGAATAAGACGAGTATGTTTAAATGTTATAGATTAAAATAACCAAAAGCGTTTCCTGATCAACAGTAAAGATCCTCAGACAGTTAATTAATCACTGAAAACATGTTTCTAAGCATAAAGGCCAAATAGCTGATGAGGACAAACTGCTGCTTTTCCCTCAGTGTTTTAATAAATTTTAAATCTTTGAACTTTGGACAAATCAGTTCGTTTGAATTTAACCAATCTTGTGCTCAAACTGAGTTAACCTGAACTCTGACATTTTGTCGCTTGCACTCAAAACTGCCGCTGTGAACAAGCTGAATGTAAAGAAGTACAATTGTATGTATGTGTCTGTATGTCGCTATAGGATCAGTTTGCATGCGTGTGTTCCTGTCCTCTCTGACTCATCATGCTAATGTCATTCATGTGGTGTGTCCATATTACAGCCCCGAGTGTTGGATGACCAGCATATGGCTGCACATGTTTGTGTGTGTGTTTGCTGAGAGCGTGTTTTATGCTCACAGAGCTGCACAAATATGCAACATATGCACAGAGGTGTGTGTGTGTGTGTGTGTGTGTGTGTGTGTGTGTGTGTGTGTGTGTGTGTGTGTGTGTGTGTGTGCGTGCGCTCCTGTACTTGCATCGTTCTATCTTTGTAAGAANTGTGTGTGTGTGTGTGTGTGTGTGTGTGCGTGCGCTCCTGTACTTGCATCGTTCTATCTTTGTAAGAATCAGTTTTGACTTAAGACAAGTTTGTAAAGTGAGAACATCGTCTGGTTTTGAGGATCTGTTATAATACAGATAAAGATCAGGTAGACATGATGGTTTGGGTAAATTGTCCACGGTGGCACAGTGGTTTGCACCGTTGCATTACAGCAAGAGGGTTCAAACCCCATGTTCAGGCCTTTCTGTGTGAAGTTTGCATCTCGGCTGCGGGGGTCAGGGGTGCTACCAGGGTTATAGTAGACGCAGTAATGTCAACATTCACACAAGCTTGAGTTCGTTCATCAGCTGATGTTGTGGTTTAGCTCAGCGTCGCATGCTGAACTTTAACTGGATGTCCCGCACAATAAAAGCATCATGACACAGGAGCACAGGTGAGAGAAATATCTGGGAAATGGGATAAAAAAGTGTGTAACTCACAACTCCATCGAATATCTCCCCAGAGGAAACTGCAGTAAAAGTCTGACTCCCTCATTTAGCATCAAAAGCTGAAAAAGAATCTGTTCCTCAAGCAAATTGTTCCATAAACGAAAATCCAAAGATGTGATCTGCTGTTAACCAGAATATATCAGTCCACACTGATGACAGACTGCACGTGTGTCAATTTGAAAAGTGAATGAATTCTTTGCTCCCTCGTGTCTTCAGGTTTTAGATCTCTGACTAAAAACACCTTTGTGTTCCTTGAGCTGTCTCACAGCGTCCGGCCGGCTCATTCCCCGTGAGCAGTTGCCCTAGCAACCAAGGTCACAGTGCGGCCCCTTCATATGATGAGATGGAGTCATAACAAACTGTGTCTCAGAGTCTGACGGGCAGTGAGCTGCAGGGACACACACCGGCAGTTTAATGTTGAAGGACTTGGTACCGAATAGAGAAGAAGGATATTTATACATTTGATGTGGTTCAATGACGTATGAGCATATTCAGAGTACGTGTGATAAGATATGGACACATTTAAATATGGTTACTAGAGAGGAATCCTTCAGGTCTGGATGATATTCAAGATATGAACTAATGGTGGTGTAAGTTATTTTATTTTCTCATTTGTCAAGCTTCTATAAATGCTTCAGCTCTCCTGAGGCTTCTCCCTTTCACCTCCATCACATGACTTCAGCTCCACATCTAAAAATACGACAGGTTGTGTTAATGCAAGAGACCGAAATTCTGGAAAATGTCCAGACCCAATTTCTGGACCTTTCCTGTTATAATGTGTGTGTGTGTGTGTGTGTGTGTGTGTCTCACCTCTGTAGTGCTCCATGCGTGTGTGGTGCGTGACTCCCTGCGACCTGAAGCTGAGGCTCAGGATGTATCGAGGGTCTGAACTGTCTCGGACCAGGAAGGATCCGTCCGGTTTCCCCTTCAGTTTCATCTCCGCGTCCTCCCAGTTCATCGGACCCCAGTACCAGCCGCACTGCAGCCGGAGACACCAGCACAAATCAGACCTCGTGCACATCAACAACATACATCATTCACATAGTAAGACTGAGGCATGAGGATATTACAGAGAGACAACGAGCAGCTGGAGGAAACCTCTGGAACCAGAGAGCACATCGGTGAGAGATCAGAACCAGAAGGACGCAGACTCCTCGTCTATTCATTAGTCTGATTAGTCTCATTTGAAGGAGGAATATTTTTTCAGTGTTTCTCTCCTCTCGTGTGTTATAAAGGTTTTTTTCACGTCATGTATGTTACCAGGTCGTCTTCTGCCCCCGAAGCATCTTCGTGGTCATTGAACTGTTTTGCGGTGACGTGATCGGGCCTCGTTGGCTGTCTTACCTTCTCCAGCTCCCTCAGACTGGCCGTGAAGTTGCTGGCCTCAGACCGCCGCAGTGCACAGAGCATAGGGGGTGGAGCCTGTCGGGACGGGGGTAGCGCATCGACCGGTGATGGGGTTGAATGAGGGAGGGCCCGGAGGAAGGCGTCTAAACAAACACACACGTTTAAAAGTCCCATCTTACAAACACATTACAATCAAGCCAGTTAATTCAGATGAGACAGAGGAGGAGACGGTCAGCACCCCACCCCCCCAACCCACCCACCAACCCCCTAACGGGTCTTACCATTGAGGCTGAGACTGTGCTGGATGGTGGCGTGGGAGGGAGGAGGAGGAGGAGGGAGAGGCAGGGGGAGGGACTGCAGGGAGGCGCCCATAACTAGGAAAGGCCCAGGCTGAGGCCCGGCTATGTCATCTGGAGGAAGGACGACAAGGAGAGGAGAGAGGAGGACGCCAGGAAGGAAGGATGCAAGGGAGGAAGGGGGAAGGAAGGACGGACGGAAGGAAGGAGGGAAGAAAGTAAGGAAGGCAGGAACAAATGAACAAATGAAAAACAACAAGGAAGGAAGGAAGACATTTTCAACACTATCAGACAGAAAGCCTCAGTTGTCTTCCTCTGTGTGTGTGTGTGTGTGTGTGTGTGTGTGTGTGTGTGTGTGTGTGTCGCTGAACTTCATTGTTGTCAAAAACAATTAAAAACACCTCAGTGAACCAAACTGTCGCACTGGGTGACACGTTCCTTCATTACTTTGAACACACACACACACACACACACAGACACACACACCGTCCTGCTGCCCCAAATACTCAGCAGAGCCACCCCTAACCTTAATCCACCAATGAAAACACAGAATTCTTTTCTGAAATGACTGATCTGTTTTTAGATCCTCGGAGCCAATGAGCTTCGAGAATCAGACACTGAGCGACGAACTAATGCACGACTGGTTTTGGTGTTTTTCGTTGGTTGTGTTCACGGCAATAAAAACACAGAATATCACCATCTTCAGCTTTTAAAGAAATCCAACACGGTGCTTAAGGCTGCTGCATATGTGGGTCAGAAAATATCAGAGGCTCGGAGCAAAGAAAAAGATGTCAGGTCAGAGAATTGGTCTGGAAATTAGAAATGAGGAATAAAAGCCCCGATAGTTGTCCAGATGTTTGGGGATCGGGAGCGTGCATTAGGAAACTGAACTTCCCTATTCCCTTAAACTTTCAGTCAAACATCTGCATCAACAACGACGTCAAGTCTTGAGTTTTTATTCCCCTGACTGCGTTGCCATCTCGCCGTCGACTTCGTCTTTGCCATCGTGTTTTCGTCCAGATTTCAAATTAAATCTGTCGTTTGCCGCTGACCTTAAAAAGCTCCTCCGGTCAGATTAGAGCAGATTACAAAAACTTGCTCTGCATTCCGAGTTTCCAGAAATGACAGACGAACAAAATATTTGACTAAGAGAGAAAATATCAGAGCTTCCTCTTCAGTAAAGCCTGGAACTTAAGCGGCTTGCTGCCATTTTTTATCACCGCACATATGACACTGTTTGGTGTGTGTGTGTGCTCAGATGAAGAAGAGGAGGAGAGAGGGAGAAGCAGGAAAAAGGCAAGAAAGGTACCTAACAGACTGAGACTCCGTCGTGGAGGAGGGGGCGGTGTAGGAGGGTGTGGCGTGTTTGCCCCTCGCCGCGAAATATCCACGTCCATCAGAGAAACAGTCTCACCTGAGAGAAGCAGAGAAAAGGCAGTGAAGAGAAAAGAAAGGAAAGGAAGGGAAAGTGAAAGAAGGAAGTGAGAGAAAAGAAGAAGTGGTTTGTGTTTCTGTGTCTTTGCCTCCTGTTGCTGCAGAGAGCCATTAAAGCTGCAGCAGGCAGGATGTTTATGGGAAATTACACCCAGCTAATCAGCCTAAATCACGGCAATAAAAAAAAAAAAAGAAGGAACATCCCGTCATCCTCACTAATTGAGACGCTGCAGATTCACTGTTTACTAAAGTGAGATTCTGCAGGGAGGGAAACAAACTCAAATGTCTCACGACTCAAATCCCCAGCATCTCGTCGGCCGCGGAGGACACAGGCCTCACTCACATGACATCTCTGCCTCTGTCGCCTCCGCAGCTTCCACGAGAAACATCACAGGCCGCGCCCGGGGCGGGGAAACGCGAGGTGCTGTACGAGACTTCTGGTTTCAAGGATTTCAAATAACTCGGCCCGCCTCCGATGGGGCCGCCAGTGTTGCTTCGATGTTTCTGTGTAATTGGTGGTCGAGCCCCGTGCAGAGCGTGTGTTAATCAAACTACTGAGAAAAATCTTCACTTTCAAGAAGTTAATTTGGTAAAAGCTGAAGAGAAACGTAGAACTCGAGAACATGGAGCCCTGTGGAGGGGGTGTGGACTGAGCTACAGACCTCCTCACCATTTATACCCACAAGCCTCTTGTGCTCAATCTTCTTGTCTGGTGCAGCGGTTACACAGTCGGACTGGTGACAAGTTTCAAAACGGATTCAGTGTGGAAGATTTAGGTGAAAGGATCTATTGAAGAATGAATATAACGTAATCAAACTGTTGATGAGCTCTTTAGAAATACTTTAAACTTCAATACTTCATATCTACATACTTTATATGTACATCAGGAGCGGGTCCCCTCTACGGAGGCAGCCATGTTTTTTACAGACTGGACAAACTCAACCTTTTGAGTTTCTATGACGACTGAAGCTACCCCAGGTTCTCTGTCACGTTTGGAGGGAGGGTGAGGCGAGGGGTGTTCAGCTGCAATATGACACTTCACCACTAGAGGTCACTACATTCTACACACTGCACCTTTAAAAAAAGGAGTTTGATGGTTCACAGACAACAGGGCGACAGCCACAACATCTAAACCAAGTCTGTCCACATCCGAATCGGTTCGACGCCCCAGTTTGTTAGAGGAAAGAGAGCGTCAGTGAGGGAGACAGATCTTACCAGTGAAAGCAGAGAGGGAGGCGGAGAGGGAGGCGGGGGAGAAGGCACTGTGGGCCCTGGTCAGTCTGGGCTGGTGGTGGCTGCAGGACGCACAGTAAAACAGTCGGAAGAAGAAGAAGAAGAGTGCGGAGAAGAAGTGTTAGTAGCTGCAGAGGTTCAGAAAATGAACTCTTTCAGTGTGAGTGTGTGTGTGTCGGCGGTTTGATGCTCTCAGCTCCGATGGTCCCTACTTCTGAATGTGTTTTTAATCCTAGCCTCGCCTCAGCGTGCTGCTGTGAATACTGACGAAGCAGCAGGTGGAGGTTTGAAAAGTGTCTGCATCTTATAACACGCAGCAGCGAGAAGTTCCTGCACATCTGAGCACGTCGAGGCTCCGGGGCCACAGGGACGCAGTCAAAACACGTTTAAAGGCCCCTCGTGTCACACACTTCTAATCTTTCGGCAGCTTTGTTTTGTTCTTTTAAAGCTTCACGACTTCTGGACTGTGTGCTCTTATGTGGGAGGGAAGTCTTTAGAGATAGAAACACTGATAGTTTGAATTATTACACATCCAGCTGCTCTATGACTTCACTTAGGACTCGGGTGATTTCCACGCGTCATACATGGACAACAAGTATGTGCTCCTTAGGCCTGTGACAGTGTTGAGGGTCATGTCCCATGTCCCATGTTACATGTTACATGTCATGTGTGGCTGCTCACCTGTCTGCCTCCTGCTCAGCTCCAGCAGAGCTCGCCATGTCCACCAGGCTCCCGGCTGAAGACACCGAGTATGTGACCGAGGGCCTCTTGTCCAGCAGGTGATTGGAGCCGCTGCAGCTTTTAGTCCGGAACAGTTTACTCAGGCGGATCTTTAATGAGCCCTTTTTGGACTTCCCGGGAACTTTCAGGGTCTTTTCCCCACCTGCCGCCCGGCCTGTGGGAGTCCGCGGCGCGCTGGCGCACCGCTCCGGCCGCCTCCTGGGTGTCGACGCCTGGCTCAGATTCGGACTCGTGGCCCAGGGGGAGCTCTGAACCGGGGTAGGTGACGGTGACACGGCAGAAACCTGCGCCACGACCTCAGAATCCCCGGAGCTTACCTGCGCCAGGCGGCTGGCTGCGCTCCCGTGGAGGCTGCACACCTGCCCGCCAAGATGCGCCGCCGCCTGGGTCGCCGCCGGGGCCATAACCTCCACCTGCCTCCTCAGCTCCGCCTGGAAGCTGCTGATGGAGAAAGCCCCGGACATTTTCTGAACTATTTCCCTTTTCCTGTTGAGCAAAAACTCGCGGCGTCCGTTCTCGTCGTCCGTCTCGTCCTCCGGGCACTCCTCCATGCCGAGGCCGGCAACGTCCCCGCTCCCCAGCCCCTCCAGCACCAACAAAGCATCGCTGGTCTCTGTGGGGTCATCCCCGGGTTCCACTCCCCCTCCTCCCGGCCCGTGTGCACCCTGACACGAACACTGCGGGAGCTCCCCGGCTTTAAACAGCATCTTGGGGACCGCGCCGACCCCCAGCTCCCCGAACCGCCGGGCCAGCTCGAACACGGCTCCCTCTCGGTCCCTGGAGGCGCAGCCCCATTTAGACTCAATCACGGTGAGAGGGTTGGATCTCTCCGACAACAAGGGCCACTCGGGCGGGGTGGAGATGAGTCGATGCCGGCGGCACAGCTCCGCGGCTCCCTGCATGTCCGCGGACACGGAGATCCGCTCCTGCTGCGAGTCTCCGGGACTGTTGTTGTTGACAGCCGGGCCGGAGCAGCCGGACCCCGGGCTCTGCTCCAAACCCACCGCATCCCTCGGCTGATTCCGACGGTCCAATTCTAAAATCCCGTCCTCGTTCCGCATTATATTGGAGAAGACCAGCAGCTGAGGCCGGAGGCCGGGGCTGGGAGCGAAGTCAAAGCCCTGGGCCTCCATGGGGCTCTGCGGCGCAGGAGGCGCTGACAGCGGGGCTCTGCTCTCCGGCAGCCCGCTGTCAGGTGCAGCCGTGCCCTCCCCGCTCGCCTGGCCTTTGTTCAGGCGGCCCCCGGGATGCTCGACGCCCGTCGTCGGATCTCGGCTTATATCCAAACCCGCCTTGACGCCGCTGTGAGCCAGGACCTCCTTCCCCAGCCCCGGCACCACTCCTCCCGGCGGCACATTCCCGTTTTCTGCGTCCAGGCGGTCATCCTCTGCCGCGGACACCAGGCGCATCAACACGAAATCGGGCGACATATCCTGCGCGTTGTTCATAATTATTCGTCAGGATCGCGAGATGAGAATTATCGGGCGATCTTCACATAGCGAACCGCGGATGACTCGTCCCTATAATAAAGAAAGGGCCGAGCGGCTGCTCCCGTTAACAGCCTAGAAAAACCTCGATGTTTTCATCCTCCTGCGCGACGACGGCCCCGCATCCATCTGTCACATGTGTCGGGGGGTGAGTGCGGCTCGCTCCCGGCAGCAGACGGACCCCTGGGTCAGACATGCGGTCTGATCCGAGCCGAACAAAATCCAGGAGAGTCTCCGGTCAGTGACCAGAGCCAGGCCCCACCCGCTCCTCCTCCTCCAGCCCACAGCAGCTCCGCACACCGAGGATGAACCAGTGGCTCTGCTCGTCCCCAGCTGAAGATTAGTCCCATCATATTATCAAGATCACACGAAATGATCAAGATTATTCACATAACATCCATTTTACCTTCACCTTCAATTCGTAGAAAAAAAATAATTTATGTTTGTGTTCACACATCTGTATTTCAGAATTAATATATTTGTGAAAAATAACAAATGTCAGTGGAAAGAAGCTGATTTCATTTAAAGAGCTTTAGAGAATAAAAATAAAAATCATCTCATAGATCTTAACAAGGTGACATCCTCTGTTCTTAACCCTCAACAAGAGTTAATAACGAACATAACAGGAAAGAAAAGTCACAAGCCTGTAACTGAACACATCAACACAATGATAGTATTCATTCATTCATTGATTAGAAGAAACAGTTTGTATAATAAAGTATTCAGAAAACGTCTGTAACAAATGAAGGCTGGTGTATTTTTTTACCTGGACTCACTGCTGTGATAAACATTTGGTTCATGTTGTGGTAAAGATCTGTGACCACCACGTGAAATCATCAACATACAGAGAGTCATCGTCCAAATCTACAACTTCCAAACACAACTGTGCAGCGAGTTCCAGCCCGTTGTTCTCGAGTCTGGACAACACAACTGATCTCTAGTGTCAATTCTGCAGCAGCACGTTGGTATCAGGGAAAATACTCAAAGAAAAAAGCTTTTACCTGTGAAGAGACAGAAATTAGCCCCAGGAGGTGGTGGAGACCAAACAGAGAGGGAACAGTCAGATTAGTTCAGACACAAACATGACTCTGAATCAGTCAAAACACAATATAAATACATATTATATATTAAAGGAGACGATCAGTAATTCATCCAAGATTCAGGTTGGAAGAGGCTGCGAGGGAAGCAGGATATTTCCCGGGGCCTCGAGCTGAGAGGGAGACGAGAGGACGGCTGAACACGCGAGTCCATATGAAGTCAAAGCTCATGATTCAACCTGCGCCGGCTCCTGCAGGTGTTAGAAGAAGTTGAGGTTTGTTTGCCAACAATGCTAACAATGCTAACGCGCCGCTGGCATATGAGGAAGACATTTTGTTTTGTCTGTTTTGCAGAGACAAGGCTGTGGCGACGCTAACGTAAATTGATGACTAGCTACAGTCTGGTCCCTGAACTGCACCGTCCTCTTTGTCTCTGGCTGTGTTGATGCATCAACCGTAAACTGCATCACCCACTCTTGTGTTTTTCCATTTCACACAGATGCAGTGAAATAAAGGAGCTGGGTTTTCGGGGAGTCGACTCGAGACTCTGTGATTGTTCATTTGCACCATTTATTCTTATTGTTTCCCATTATTGGTGGTTTTCTTTGGCTGCTTTACTCCTGTGATGGAATCTGAAGCGGCCCTGGACTGGGAATGGGTTTAGATTGCCTGCATGTTAAATTGAAGATGTAAAATTTGTGTGATCATTTTTGCCTCAATAAGAATATTGAAACAAATAAAAGTCCAAAAACTGGATCTGATTGGTCATTGCCCCCCCCCCTGCACACGACACGTAAGGAGGCTATGTATCACACAATCATAATCCCGTGTTAACGAGGCCCACTGCCACTGACTCCCCGCCACACGACGTTGGTTTGACGTGAGGTCCAAAGGTTCCTTTTACCCGGGGACCCCAAAGTTTCTTGAAACGCTCCTGT